ATTATGACAGTTTCTTTGCCAAGGGAATAGCACATCAATCTGATGCAACTTGAACTCTTAAGGCATTTTTATTTGCATTATGAAGGGGCTCTGCAACAGATAATCTTTTGTTGATAGATGGCGTCTTATTTGCAAAGCTGTTTTAACGTCTCTAGAACTAACCATACTGTAAACTGACCTTGGTATGAAAATACTAGCTGGGTGAATTTTCATGCTGAATTGTGCTTTTTGAATTGAGAAGGACAACAGTGCTTTTTGGACAGCTGAGACTTGAGGTTATGATTTAGGTTGTGTTCCAGATTTTAAGCCATTTCTGTTTCTCTTCTTGGAAAGGACTTTGAAAAGGGTAATATTCTGCTTAATTTTGCAGCTGTAAGTTGTCTGATAGTTTTTGTCAAGAAACCTGGACATTATAAATTGACTTGGTTGAAGCTCACTGCAGCAGAAGAGATGGTTCTCTCACCCTTCATTGCCATGTTTAAGGGAGTTGCTGGTTGTTTGAGCCAGGTGATTTTTTCTCTCTTGTTTTTGATGTAAACTATACATCAGGGGTCCTCAAACTTTTTCAACAGAGGGCCAGTTGAAAGGTGCCGGCGTGGGGCGTGGGCTGGTGAGGGGGCGGGAGCTGGACATGCATGCGTGGCGATGCAGGGGCACATGCACAGTGAGGCAAGACAGGGGCGGGCCCGTGCGGAGATCATTTTCTCCAAGCGATTCCAAAATGATCTCTGCACGAGCAAGTTGCCGCCAGGCATGCGCACGGCAAGGTGGTGGGCTTGCTCGTGCAGAGATCATTTTGGAATCGCTTGGAGAAAACAATCTCTGCACAAGCAAGCTGCTGCCTTGTCCCACATGCACCCGCGGCAAGTCCAAAACCTCTGCGGCAGGCCAGATATATGGGCATGGCAGGCCGCATCCAGCCCGCGGGCTGTAGTTTGAGGATCCATGCTATACATGATTTGCTCTAAGGAACAATTATATCTCCCTGATGGGACTTGGGGTTTTTCTTCACTGGTCCTGGCCCCGCTTAAGAATAAAAAATTAATAATACTAAAGAACAAAAGACAAACATGACGTACTATGAGAAGAAAACCATTAGCTCCTGCCTATTGGACTTGGAGAAGATTGGAAGTCAAGGCCTGCTATGAAAGTTGGAACAATGTCTCTTCTTAACAAACTAATTGAAACTAATATTTTAATAGAGATAGAATGGGACTAATAATTATAATATTGATAGAAGGCTGGCTAACTAGCATTATCCACTTTCATCTTGTCCTTTTTCTTTCTCTCTTGCCCCTCTTATCTTTTCCATGTTTTTTCTCTTTCTTTCCTTCTTTCTTGACTCTTCTCCCCTAACTCTTCTGCTTTAGGTTGTACTATCAAAATGTAGTTTACTTATAGATACAAAGAAATGTGAAAGGTGGAAGTGCAGAGGAGCAGAGAAGAAGAGAAAGAGAAGAATTAATGTGAGAAGGAAATCTGAATTGGATGCTGGCAAATGACAGATTTGAAAAGAGATAGTCTGAGCTCCTTAGACTAGGTTTTACAGACAGAATGAAGATATAATCAATTAATATTAATGCATTGAATTTTTCTTGTAAGAGAATCACAGCAGTTTTTCCAATCACTTTTAAGTCCTCAACTACTTTCTAAAGAACTCCTTTTTACATCCCATTAATCATGCTGGGTATATTTTCCATTTATCATTAAATTTTTCAACCTGTCTTCTATTTACTTAATTAGTTAATTTTGCCATCGCTGCATATTCTGTCAAGAAAACAAAGGGTTGATATAGTATCTATTCAAAAAATTGCTCATATTTTGATTTATAAGAGGCTGCACAAAGTGTATGGAGCCTCAGGTGACACCAAAAGGAGTTGCCCTTTATATTAATAATCAAAGTTTAAAAGTTATAGAAGAATTAAAAGATCAAGAAAGAAGATTTATTGTTCTGAAGATAAGACTCCCAAATGGGAAGACAAATACATTGGCAATGATATATGCTCAAATGATGCAAAATAAACATTATTTTTTTTCAATTGATATTGGATTTTCAAGAAGAAGTTTTGATTATTGGTGATATGAATGGTATTATAGACTCTAATAAGGATAAGTCTAAAAAAGTAAGAAGGAGCAAACTTCCTAAAAACTTTTAATTATATGGAAATGTTACATTTAGAAAATGCATGGAGATGTAAAAATCCTGGAGCTAGAGACTATACTTTTTTCTGACAGATACCACACATACTCAAGGATCAATGTGTTGGCAATCGAAAAACCTAATTATGAGGCTGTAAAGATCCAACCAAAAACACTATCTGACCACAACCCATTGGAGATAATATGGTGGGAAGAACAAGTGGGAGGAAGAAGATGGAGACTTAATGATAACCTTTTGTTACAAGAAGATATTTTGACAAAGTCAGAAGTACCAGGCTTATCACATTATTGACTCATATTCAGCTTGTTATCTACAAGTATTCCAAGATCCTTCTCACTTGCAGTATTGTTAAGCCAAGTATTTCCCATCCTGTAAGAATGCATTTGGTTTCTTTTTCCTAGGTGCAGAACCTGGCATTTGTCCTTACTAAATTTTATTCTGTTGTTTTCAGCCCTGCACTCCAACCTATCAAGATCACCTTGAAATTTCTTTCTGTTTTCCAGGGTTTTAGCTTTCCCACCAGTTTTGTGTCATTTGCAAATCTGATAATCGTTCTCTGCACTTCCTCATCCAAGTCATTAAAGAAAACATTGAAGACCAGGACTGAATGTTGCATTATTCCACTTGTTACCTCTCCACAGTTTAAGAAGGTACCGTTGAAGTGCACACTTTGAGTATGATTCTGTCACCAACTGTGGATCCATCTGATCACTGTTCCATCCAGCCCACTTTTAGCTCATTTGCTAATCAGGATATCATGGGGCATTTTAAAAGCTTTGTTGAAGTCAAAAGAGATGAAGTCCACAGCATTCCCACAGTTCATCAGGGAGGTTACAAAGTCAAAAAATGAAATCCAATTAGTCTGGCAGAATTTGTTCTTGAGAAATTCATGTTGGCTACTAGTAATCACTGCATTGCTTTCAAGGGGTTTGCAGACTGACTGCTTTATAATCTGCTCCAGAATTTTCCCAGGGATTGAAGACAGACTGACAGGTCCATAGTACCCAGGTGATTCTTTTCTTTCCTTGAAGAGTGGGACAAAATTTGCCCTTTTTCAGTCATTTGGTACTTCCTCTGTCCTTCACGATTTCTCAGAAATAATACAGAATGGTTCTGAGAGCTCTTCTGCCAGCTCCTTTATCACTCTAGAATGGAGTGCATTGGACCCTGGAGATTTGAACTCAATCAACGCAACTGGATGATCCTTGACCATTTACCTATTAGTTTCGAGCTGCTATCCTACTCCTTCAGCTTGTACGTCTACTTCATCAGTTTCCTCTGTATTTTCCCTTCCCACAGGATTCTTCTCTTCTGCTTCAGCTTGTTGTTGCGCTTCTAGCTTCTGCTCTACAGTTAACTGTTGCAGTTCCACCACTCCGCCTAAAAACTCTTCTTCTTTTATTACCTTGTGAGTGAACACTCACTGCTCTAGCATGCTTACCTTTTCTTCTAACAGGGCCACTAGCTTGCACTTGTTGCACATGTAGGCCATGTTGGCCTTAGGCAGAAAAACATACATTTTACAGATGTTGCACGTTACTACCACTGTAGAGCCTTCTTGATCCCTTCTTTCTGCTACCTTTTTGATTCTACTTTGTTGGGCCTGTTGTAACAACCAGTGCTTTCATTTGTCTTCAGTTGTTAACAACACCATCCTACTAGTAAATGGTGGTGTATTACAAGGAAGAAAACAAAAGGGGAAAAACTAAGAGGAAAAAAGTGAGGAAAACAATGTTAGGGACCTCTCCTGCCAAACTGCCACCAAACACCTGTTTTACACATTCCTAGAAACTTGACTGCTTGTATTCCAGAGTTCCTAGGTCAGCTGGGGCAGCTTCCTCTGATCTGCTCAGCTAGGAGTCAGGGACCAGAATGAATCTCTCCACCCACACAGCCGCTACTAGTAATCAGGACATGCCTCCTTCAGGTGCAGTTCTCAGGAGCACATGGCCTCTTGGAAGAGACTGTTTGCTGGGTTAGTCTAGGCCCCTTCCCCCTTTTACCTCTGCATTTTTATCTTCTTCCATTACTATTCCTCTGTCAAACTTCTGTTAGCCTTCCCTGTTCCCTCACTCTGGCTGTTCACTCTTTGGGAGCCTGACTACTCATAATCCAGAGTCCCTAGACCAGCCAGGTTAGCTTCTTCTGATCTCCTCAGAAGAAGTCAGGAACTCCATTTCTAAACATGTTGCCAAAATGAAGATATATGGGATCAGTTAACAGCACTGTGTACAATGGAAACCCAATCCAGACAACCCTCTGTGTATATTTAAATGACAACCCTTTCCTTATACTCTCTCTCTCTCTCTCTCTCTCTCTCTCTCTCTCACACACACACACACACACACACACAGAGAGAGAGAGAGAGAGAGAGAGAGAGAGAGAGAGAGAGAGAGAGAGATGATGGCAGTACTTGAAACAGGTATGAGGCAGAAGATCAGTTGTATGTCAAATTTCAAGAAACACACATTTTATATACACATTCTAACAGAAATAAGGCACTGGCACAAATCTTGCATATTCTTGTGCTGCAATAAAAAAGAATGTTATGATGTTTTCATAGAAAGCTATATTAGGCTGTGAGGGCAGAAGGGATTTGACATTAAAATCCTCTGCTAAAGCAGCCAGGCCTGACAAGCCAGGATAAAGCTGCATTAGTTTGCTTTTCCTAAAACATGCAGTGAAAGAGCCAGATCACACAAGCAACAGAAATATTCATTATGTGTCACCAGCTGTGTTTGCCCACACAAACTACTCATTAAGTTACAGAAATGACATTTTTTTCCATGCAGCTGGAGCATGTATGACTGACAATGCAGAAAGAACTACATGCGACATGTAAGGGGCTGATTAATGCCAGTGTGGCTTTTTTATTTTCTTGTTTTTATGGAATGCTAGTTTAATGTTACAGCATGGCAGTTCATATATCTACCAAAATATGACACATGTTCACTCATATTGGGATGCTGCAAAATGATCCTGCTCCATAAGCCAATTTTTTCCTCTTAAAAAATCAAAACAATTACTTGACATTGTTGAAGTCTCATAGCTAATCCAGCTGTGATGCTGAAGTGCACAGCAAGCTTCAAACCATAGTTATGACATCTATACATATATGTATGCATTTAGACAGCTTATGTAGGTTTGCTTTAATATATTTAGAAAAATGCATTTGTATGCTTTTGGTACAGACATGCACACCTATGCACGGACATATGTCACCACTTACTCCCTTTAAGACACTTTTAAAAATATGTACAACTGTTATTATTCTTAATCTTCTTTATAACAGCCTCCTCAAATTTGTTTTACATGATTTCTGCTCAAACATTTCATTCCCTCTGATGCATGTAGGCATTTCTATGTAACATAGATTGTACCCAATATTAGACTAAGTCCATTTCAATGAACCTGCTTTAAGTAGGACTAACACCGGATACAGCTCAATGTTTATATCTGGATTACTAAATAAAGCATTTCCCCTCTACCATTTTCAGAGGTTCATGCTCTAGTGCATTAGAGAGTCTTTCCAGCATAGATTTTCAATTTTATAAGATCTTCTGCTGGAAAATCTCTTTATATAGTTTATTTTTTAGTTACAAAAATTATAGGATTGAAACCTACTGCTTACTTATCTCTCTGAACGGGGCTATGCTGTAGCCATATACATATATATATGTACACACATATTTATATACACACACACAAATTTAAAAATGACATCCTCTAAACAGGATGTGAAAATGGCAAAAATTAAGCCATTGCCTGTAATTCCTATTAAAAAGTCTACTGCTCTGAAAATGTCAGAAGACTGAAGAGCACCACACACTTAAATATATATAAAGATGGGAACTTTAATACTTGACATTTCATTTAATTCCCCAATAATCTTCTGGGATGGTTGGCTTCGCCTTTATGTCAACATACATCAGTAAGTGAACTAAACATTGCTGTAACATGTTGAATTGAACATTCTTAAAGTATATAATTAAAGCAAGCTAGGTTTAAAAGAACAAAATACTCAAAACAATCTGTACAAGTCATTTTAGTTTCAGAAATGGGGGAATGATAGACATATTTCATAAAGAGAAGTAACACTTATCAACATGTGCAAAACCTGCTAGGTTTTATTTTCTATCAAGTCAGAATTCATAGCTATTCTGGAAATTCAGATCTATCTTATAGTTTACTTCCACAATGCAAGTATTTAAGACTTAACTATCTAGAAGGGAAGAAGGTGGCTCCATTGAATGCATGAATTCTCCCTCCTATTTTTCCATATGTATGATGTTATGCTAGAGGTCCTCTATAAATGCTTTGAAATTTGCTGAATATCAGCTCAAAATGCCAGCTACCAGCCATTGTATCAAGAATGGTTATTTGAGTGAGTGCATAAACTTTTCAAGACTATATTCTGAATCATACTGTTCTTGATCCCAAAGGTCTCCAAGATTTTCAAGAACTGACTTCATACTTGTTTTTCCAGAAGCAGAAGTGGCACCATCCGATTTTTCTGATTTTCCATCCTTGAATGCAATGGAAGACAAGGTGGGAGAAGGAAATGAGAGAGAGAGAGAGAGAGAGAGAGAGAGAGAGAGCACAGCATCTTAAAACCTATGTGCCAGAAATGGTTTGTGCATTCATAATTAAGTGAATGATGAGGAAATAAATACTTCAATAAAAGCAATAATCCTAAGGTGCCTTCTACGTTGCAAAATATGCTAAGCAGAAATAAGAGGGCATTTATGTTTCTCTCATTATTGTATCTACTTAATTGGAGACTCCCAACATTAAGGAAGAATTACTGTAATAACAGTTTAGATCTCACTGAACTTCATGTAAGGCAAAAAGAACTTCTGCAGCAATAGCTGCTGCTTTCCAGATTACTTAGGAACAATTTTTTTTACCTTGTCAAGAGTGAAGAGGTCAAGGAGCTGATCTGTCCCCATGCTTTGCAGACTGGTATTCTCTTGACTAATCACAGTATTGGCAATATTCATTTTGAACTTCTGCAGACCCATTATTTTTTCCTCCAATGTTCCCCTTGTTATCAAGCGATAAACATTAACAACTCGTTTCTGCAGGAAATATTTTTGGACATTTAATATAGATACCCTAGCCATAAGAAGCCACTAACTGGCAGAAAACACGTAATATACCATTAGACCAAGATGGAAATAATAAGTTTCCTACATGATTTTTCATTTCCATGCTGCATTCTCCAGAACTTGAACAGCAATTCACTGCCTATGAGTAGCAGATCTGCTCAACTGAGAGGGTGAATCTCAATGAAGACTAATAAGGCCTTTAAGGAGTAGAGAAGAAATGGCAAGGCCTCATGCTATACATAAATAGTCTCTTTCCCTGAGAGGATCTGTTGGCTGTTAAAGAGACTGGTAAACAAAAAATGTCTAATTTTTGACAGGATGAAAAGTAGACATGGTAGGAACTTGGGAGTTTAAAAGAGATTTGAGTAAAATGCAGATTGGTGAGCCTGCATTCCTCTTTGCTAGTTAGTCTGCTCTAATGAGTTCCACGTTTGTTTGACAAGCTTCAGGTCTCCATTATTTTTTTAATAGAACAATGGTTATAAACAAGATGCACAAATATTATGTTTATGTATGTTGTTGGTATGTTATATCTGTCTGTATGTATGTACGTATGGTATTGGTTTTGGAAGCTTTAACCAATTCTGATGTTATTTGAGTGGTGTTAACTTATCCGGAATAGACTACATTTTTTTTACCTGCCCAATGCGATGTGCTCGATCCATTGCTTGGAGGTCTTTCATTGGATTCCAGTCATGTTCAACAAATACCACTGTATCAGCTCCAGTTAAGTTAAGACCCAGTCCACCAACATGGGTAGTAAGCAAGAGAACATCTATGGATGGGTCATTGTTAAACCTTTGCCAAAAAAAAAAAAAAAAAGTTTAAAATGTACTTGGTTATACATGCACAGCTTATGCCCACACTGGTGAGTAAGACAGAGCTAGGAGTGAGAAAAGAGGAAGCAAGGGAAAACACAAAAGGAAACTTTGAATTAAACTAAAAATAGACCACAACTTTATTACTTCCAGATATTTGGATGTTACAAGGGCAGTAAAGTCTTTCTAAAATCAGCCTATTTATTAATAGCACCACTCCTAGCCTGCCTATTCAGGGATGTGGTGGGGGAAGAAGAGAAGACAATTGCCCACTTAACTTAGTCCATTTTATGACTGACTTCTACTGCCAACATCAACCTGAGACTACAGCATGCCAGTACCAAGGCAGGATGGGCCCTATGCTGGGAAGGGTTAATTTGTGTCCCTTTTAGATGTTTTCACCTATAATCTCTATCATATCTTGCAGATGGCTACAGTATATCACAGAAGTGAGTACAGCCCTCACATTTTGTAAATATTATATCTTTTCATGTGACAACCCTGAAGAAATGACATTTTGCTACAATGTAGTGAGTATACAGCTTGCATAACAGTGTAAATTTGCTGTCCCCTCAAAATAACTCAACACACAGCCATTAATGTCTAAACCACTGGCAACAAAAGTGAGTGTACCCCTAAGTGAAACTGTCCAAATTGGGCCCAAAGTGTCAATATTTTGTGGGGCCACCATTATTTTCCAGCACTGCCTTAACCCTCTTGGGCATGGAGTTCACCAGAGCTTCACAGGTTGCCACTGGAGCCCTCTTCCGCTCCTCCATGACGACATCACGGAACTGGTGGATGTTAGAGACCTTGCGCTCCTCCACGCTCCGTTTCAGGATGCCCCACAGATGCTCGATAGGGTTTAGGTCTGGAGACATGCTTGGCCAGTCCATCACCTTTACCCTCAGCTTCTTTAGCAAGGCAGTGGTCGTCTTGGAGGTGTGTTTGGGGTTGTTATCATGTTGGAATACTGCCCTGCGGCCCAGTCTCCGAAGGGAGGGGAGCATGCTCTGCTTCATATGCCACAGTACATGTTGGCATTCATGGTTCCCTCAATGAACTCTAGCTCCCCAGTGCCGGCAGCACTCATGCACCCCAGACCATGACACTCCCACCACGCTTGACTGTAGGCAAGACACACTTGTCTTTGTACTCCTCACCTGGTTGTCGTCACACACGCTTGACACCATCTGAACCAAGTAAGTTTATCTTGGTCTCATCAGACCACAGGGCATGGTTCCACTAATCCATGTTCTTGGTCTGCTTGTCTTCAGCAAACTGTCTGCGGGCTTTCTTGTGCATCATCTTTAGAAGAGGCTGGCTTTCTTTTGGGACGTCAGCCCTGCAGACCAATTTGATGCAGTGTGCGGCGTATGGTTTGACCACTGACAAGCTGACCCACCACCCCTTCAACCTCTGCAGCAATGCTGGCAGCACTCATACATCTATTGCCCAAAGCCAACCTCTGGATATGACGCTGAGCACGTGAACTTCTTTGGCTAACCATGACAAGGCCTATTCTGAGTGGAACCTGTCCTGCTAAACTGCTGTATGGTCTTGGCCACCGTGCTGCAGCTCAGTTTCAGGGTCTTGGCAATTTTCTTATAGCCTAGGCCATCTTTATGCAGAGCAACAATTCTTTTTTCAGATCCTCAGAGAGTTCTTTGCCATGAGGTGCCATGTTGAACTTCCAGTGACCAGTATGAAAGTGTGAGAGCAGTAACACCAAATTTAGCTCCCCATTCACACCTGAGACCTTGTAACACTAACAAGTCAAATGACACTGGGGAGGGAAAATGGCTAATAATGCCCAATTTGGACAGTTTCACTTAGGGGTATACTCACTTTTGTTGCCAGCGATTTAGACATTAATGGCTGAGTGTTGAGTTATTTTGAGGGGACAGCAAATTTACACAGTTATACAAGCTGTATACTCACTACTTTACATTGTAGCAAAGTGTCATTTCTTCAGTAGTATCGCATGAAAAGATATAAAATATTTACAAAATGTGAGGGTTGTACTCACTTCTGTGATATACTGTATGCTGGCTAGGGCTGATGAGAGTTGATTTCCTGCATTACCCACCCTTACATTAAAGACTCCTTAAACGGAATCTTTCCTGGAATTATATGAGAACCTATCCTAAGAATAGTCCCTGCCTGATGACTATGTATCATAGCCAGTTAGTGGCAAAGATCAGTAAGAGTACTCTAAGAACAAGTTTCAACCAAATTGGTTTGCAGGAAGGCAAACCCCACCCCCGCAAAGTTCCAATGAATATAAAATTACACCTTGTGCTGTTACTAGCAGCTGACTAATGGTCCATAGAAAATAAGAAACCAGCTTGGGGTGAAGGGTAGACAAGAACACATTAGTCAAACATGACTTGGGGCCCAATTTATAGTTCATGAGGAGACCAGAGGCAACCATTCTGCCTAGTCCACTGCTTAGGTTCCAAGCAACTTAGCACAATATAGAAAGGCAGGTTTCTTCTTCGTGGTTTCTGTACATCACACACACATGGGCGACTAGCAAGCTTAGCCTTCCTGCGGGGAGGGGCTGTCATCACCAGAGAATTACAGAGAGGACTGCCCTACCAAACATGCAGTCTTGTCTGGCACAGATGTCTAGCTGGTAATGCTGGATGAAGGTGGATGGTGTGGACCACATAGCAGCTCTGCAGCTTTCATGTAGTGGGATGACAGCCAGCAGGACAGGAGATGCAGCTTGTGTATGACTGGGGTGCACACAGGGGAGTGTGGGGTGCTTGAGCCTTGCCATCCCGTAGCCCAGGGAGATGCTGCTGGACGCCCAGTTGGAAAGCTTTGGGTTGAGACGAGCTCCCCTTTATTCTGACCCTCCTAGCAGAGGAACAGGCAGTTGGAAAGCCACAGCAGTTCAGTCCAGGCTTTGTAGAATGTCAAGGGCTCTGCAGACGTCAAAGAGGCCTGTACTGTGGTGGCGGGGCTGGGGAAGATGGCCAGGAGGACAGTGTGTGTGAAGGCCTCCTCAGTGGGGGTGAGTCAGACATGGTGCTGAGTCTTACGGCGCTGGGTCTGTTCAATGCCATGCAATGTGATGTCAGCATGCTCCCAATGTCAAGTGGGGTCCTGTGCATGCACTTGGCATTGAGCGTTCGGGTTGGCAGGAGAGTGATGATGGTATCGGTTGGCATCAGGCCAGTTGCTCAGCTCCATGACGGAGTCATCAGCGGAGTCGAAGTCCCCCCACTCCATGTGTAGCCTCCTTTGGCAAGTTGCGACCATAATGGGGGGGGGGGGGTTGAGATGTCAGACCAGTTGTCCGAGTAAATGGAAGCTGGCGACCAAGATGAAGAGCCATCCCAGTTGAGAAGGGGGGAGCGGAGCAATCCCCGGAGTCCCCTGGCAGGTGATGCGTGGCTTGCAGCTGGTGAGAGCAGGCCAGTGGCAGGTAATGTGGCAAGGTGGAGGTGCAGTGGCTGGGTGGCATGGGCAGCAAGTTGCATGTTGAACACCTGGCAGTGTGGAGACATCTCCATGATGTGCCCCTCATCAAGGCAAAGGATGCAGCAAGAATGGTCACCCACTGTGCGTAGGTGAACAGCACACAAGGCGCAATCGTGGAAAGCCGGATTGGCCATGAGGGGAGAAACCATGAGAGAGGAGAGCGGGGAGTCTTTGTTCCCCTTCCTCACAGGCAGGAGAGAGAGATGGAAAGGAGTGGCCTCGAAATGAGGAGTGTAGATCAGGTAGCTTATGAGCAAGTAGTTGCAGAAGTGTATTAAGGGGAAGGTAGAGAGTTTTTTTTTTAAAAGAAAGAGCAAATGAAGAGAGTGAGCTGGTAGGAGAAGAGAAACAGTGGTTCTGACAAGCACTGCAACTGCAAGTGCAGTCGAAAAGGAACTGGGGGGATGCACAGGAGCCCCCTCTTTACCTAGAGACCTGGAAGGGGCAGGGTGGGGCTCCTGCCCACTCTGTGATGCTGAGCCGTGCAAGTTTTTTCTATGATCCAGACCTTGCATTGTGTGGCAAAGCCCATGTGTGTGATGCACAAAGACCACGAAGAAGAATGCTGGTACTTACTATGCAGCTTTTCCTGGGTTGGTGTGCAGAGGTATCCAGAATGGATTGATTCCTGCTAGTTCAGAAGGCAGGGAAGCATGTTACTTAGCTTTTTGGACTATGCTCTTAGTTTACTCTTTCCAGGTCCAGTACAATGCCCAAGCAATTAACATGAACAAAATTGCAGAAGTGGAAACTAGAAGGTAGTTCTCCGGGAACCCTTCTCCGGGAACCCTCCATGAAAGAAATTAGGAGAGTAAGTACTCGGAGGAGGGCTTTCTCTGCGGTGGCGCCCAACCTATGGAATTCACTCCCCAAAGAGGTCCGCCTGGCACCGTCGTTACTGGTTTTTCGGCGCCAGGTAAAGACCTTTTTATTTAAACATCATTTTAATTGTTAAAATGTATGATCTGGCCAGGGCAACTTCTTCTTCCTTCTCTTTTCTCCTCCTATATTATTTATTTACTTACTTTATACTGATAATTTTAATTTTATATTATTATGTTTGTAACTCAATGTATTTTTTGTATTTTTGTATTTAATGGTAATTTATTATGTTCTATTGTATTTCAATGTATTTTATTGTGTTGTAAGCCGCCCCGAGGCTTCGGCAAGGGGCGGCGTAGAAATGTTATAATAATAATAATAATAATAATAATAATAATAATAATAATGGTAATGGGAGCTGGGTAAGTAGGACCAGGAGTAAAGAGAGCTTGTTGTGAAGCCTTACTTAATACTGTGACTACAGAGGAGTTAATCCCTGGACAAAAAAAGGACACCAATCACTGAAAATTAGGGAGGAGATTGTTTCATAGATATCTCTCCACACCAGACCAGAGGGAACCTTGATGGTAAGCAGCAATATTCTGTTGTCTGGCACATGAGGTACTCAAGATGGGATATGTAAAAATTATGGAATATTTTGGGTGATCTGGGTGTTGTTACTGCTCTATTACATTTTAACAGTGAGGACAATTCAAGATTTATGCATCCTGTATGATGCAAGGAAAGTCATAACCTTGTGTGATACTCTACATTTTGAAGGACTGAAATCTTTTTGGTTATACAACTTGCAGGCAACTAAATGGAAGACACAGCTTTGAATAGAGGAGGCAAGGAGTCATCACTATGAATAGCAAAGATATACAGTATGGGTCCTTCTGGTGCAAGCTCAGACTACTCTCTGTCCTCCTCACTTGAAAGGAACACAAATCATATCTACTAAGATGACACACAATATTTGACTTTATGGAACCAAGCTCTGAAGTATAATCTTTATCTGGCTCTTCCCTAGATTATAGGGGTTTTTCCAGAAGGTAGATGGTGTGGATTAGCTGAATCAGACTCATGGGAAGAGAGTAAAATAGCCAAGTTTAAGTTTTGACATGGTCTCTGAAACCTTTGGTTTAATTAATTTCAATTATGATCAGGGAAAAGGGAGACAGAGGCTCCAACTGTACTGTTTATTTACTTGTGTTGGAAAGATTCTTAAGTGGGAGCTCCCTGCATTTTCTGCATTTACTGTGGCATGGCTGTTCACAGGTTTGCTTGGAGGACATTAAGTAGAGAGGAGGGGGGGAAGCAAGAATGGGAGAAAATTAGGATTTAAAAAAAAAAAAAACAAGATTAGAGAGGGAAACTTAAAATTTCCAGATACTAAGCACAAAGGAAAAAAAGAGGGATCTTGTATTGCTCCTGATCAAAGGACTGAAGTAGTAGATAAGGTGCACCCTCTGAGAAAGTATAAAGAAAAAGCTCCATCACATGATTCCCTGCTTTCTGAGCAAGAAAGAGAAAACCCACCACACACTATACAGAGAACAAGCTGGGGACCAAGTTGTATGCCGTCTGCCAGCCATGCTTCTGCTCTTGTGGCACTTACACTAGTGAACAAGGCTTTTATCTACCTAAGCCTGCACACCCTCCAGATGTGTTGTACTACAACATCCATCTGCTCATTCAGGGCAGTCAGTTGAAGAGCAGCAGGTTGGAGAAGGCCCTACTTGAGCAGGTATTCAGTTAGAGCTATTGGTATTATCAAAGGAGCTGTGATTATACCAGAAGTACATTGGTGACACTAGAAGAAATGACAAACCAACCTAAAGTCAATCTGAATGGCCCTGAAGACAAGTAATGGAGTGCAGCTCCAAGTCTGTATTAATCAATAGGTCTTATGGCAATGGAATTCCCTTGGAGGGTGCTACATCTCTGGCTAAGGCCAGAATGGCTTATTTAGTATCATGAAAAAACTACTGTATGTGCAACATCAACTAGAGCAGCTTGGAAAGTCAGCTGCATCCACCCTTGCTATCATTCACTTTCATAACTGTACTCAATGGATGAAAACAATCAGAAAATCCATGAGCAACTAATGAAGTTTAGAAGTCGCACAACTCTTTGCAAAGAAGGCTAGCACTATACCTGCCTTTCTACACTACATACAACCTGTGAATACTCTAAATCAAAATCTGCATCAATAAATTCTGAATTTTCTTCTCTTATACAGATTAGCATATCATCTACATTTGCATGTTTAGCCAGTAGGGCCCCATTGAAAATCTCCTGTACTTCACCGACAGTGGAAATCCCAGTGCAAAAGCCCTTCTGTTAGAAAGCAGCTTGATATTGGCTTTACCGTGAAACGATGGAATGCCTCTGACCAGCAGGTATGCTGCCATCCAATCGCAGATAGGTAATGGAGGGCAAATGGGGCTTGAGAAGGTCATACTCTACTATATCCAGCATGCTCTTGAGTTGGCAGAAGATTAGTATCCTGTGTTGTGCAACTATGGTTTCTGTACCACTTTCTGAGGAACCGCCATTGCCCAAGCCACAATCCAGCAGCAACTTAAAAGACCAATAAGAAAGCATTACACCAAACACTGAATTTAGCAAGTTTACTTTCTCTAGTTGATACTATCTGATAAGATTTCATACACACAGTTCTATGGCACAACAGATATTTGACATGCAGGACGTTCCATGTTCAGCCTTCGGACTCTCTAGGTAGCAAATGACATGGAAGGCCACAGCTTGTGATTCTGAAAGGTCACAGCCAGTCAGGGTATGTAATACTGTGTTAGATTTGCAAATGGTTTGATGAGGCATGTGGCACATTATACAGCCTTTTTCAACATATACCTTACAAATGTGATCACAACTTCCAGCATTCCTGAACAGATAAAACTGGTTGGGGCTGATGAGAGTTCAAGTCCAGCACACTTGCATGGTACTAATTGAGAAAGGCTGCCTTATAATATGAAAGTTAAAATGGAAAGTGTTTTATTTGACTTTGTATAGCAGTGTAAAGTTAAAAATCTTTGATTATCAGATGCTCTGAAGGGCACAGCTTTATGGAATCAGCTAGCTTCAATGGCATTTGTTTTGGGTTTTATAGCTGATAGTATTAATAACTCATATGTCACTGAAGCTTACATCAAAAGAAGAACTATACTGGCATCTCACTTAGACAGCAAGAAGAGCTTTTGTTTTTCATGTAGAGTTTTGGTCAGTACAGAAATCAAATAAATAAAAGAGTTTGGAGTCAATAATGTAACAAAACAAAAACTTAAAATTTCACATGGCTATTACAGGAGTGGTATTTTTCATGCATATAGTTATATAACAATTCTATACAAGTATTGGAAACTTTTCTTTTTAACAATTGGACACTTAGTACTTTCCTACTATTTTTAGCATTTTTAGCTTACTTACTATTTATAAGGCAATTCTTTCTCAACTCTTCCTTAATATGATTTAGAATGAAGTATGCAGGAACTAAAAAGAACTTCTTTCCCACAATTTAAAAATCTTATTTTAAAGTCAGATATAGCATACAGATTTTGCCCACCTGTTTTAAAGCAGAGAGTTTGGGGGCATGCTGAATGTCTCGAAGGGAAGAATTCTCAGTTGCCAGCTTTTCCGTGATTCTCTTGTGTTCAGGATGATGGACAGTTAAAACTAATGCTGGATGGTTGCAAAGTTTCCTTAAATACTGCAATGCCTTAAAAATAAAACCATGAAGTGAGCAGTTTTGCACACTTAATTACAAATACATCACTTTATCACAGTTACATTGTGGAGAATAGAACTGTGTTATACCTGTGGAAAAACTAACCTCTCCTATATTCCAAAAATTGTGCCTATCTGTTTGATCTTGAATAATGATAATTCACTTGCTGTGAATAATATAATCTCTAACTTACTTACAGATTCTATAACCTGGAAATCTTAAGGACTATGGACAGTAAAGTTCTTCTCAGTCCTAAGACTGATACTCTTCTTAGAAATAAAAATCATTGCACACATTAATTGCCACATTAAAGCTGTTTTTGGAAGTTTTGCCAGCGAAGTGGGTAATGCTTTATAATTCATCTGAAACTCTGGATTAACAGTTCAATCCGTTTTGGATCTGTAGCTTTTTGAAATGCGTTCACCTTTAAGTCTCTTCCACCTTCTTTTTTTGCATTGTTTTGCCAAAAAAAACCAAACAAACCCTGCAGAAAAATCATATTTAAATGTGTACTTTGGATTGTATTTTCTCATAACATAAATATATCTAAATATGTATTTCTAAAGTGAAATGAATAAAAAATAAGATTTCTTAATAAAATATATATAAAACAGTCCTTTACCATCTCCATTGGTTGCTGATTGAAGTTTGGGGCCAATTTAAGGCATTGGCACTTATGTATGAAGCCCTTGATTGGTTAGGGCAGTGGTGGCGAACCTATGGCACACGTGCCACAGTGGGCATGCAGAGCCCTCTCTGTCAGCATGCAAGCCAAGTTGCCCCAGCATCGCCCCAGCAGCTGAGCATCGGATAACAGCACACATAGGGGTCATGCGCATGCTCAGAAAGGAGTAGTGGCGCCAGGCGATGATGTCACAAGCCGCGACTCATTAGTCGCAACTCATCCAAGCTTTCACATGGCCAGTCAGTGTGTTGCCAAGGATATATATACATTTGCTTCGACTGGCTGCAAGTTGTTTTTTCTAAACTGACACTTTATATTTTTCAGTACCAGGCCAAGACCTTTTCTTTTACTCAGCATTTTAATGGTTGAATGTTTTTTACTGCATATATATAAGAGGGAGAACAAGAGCACGTTTAGGATTCAAGTGTTGTGAATTTAGCTGTACTGTTTTATCCTCTGCAAGCTGTCTTTAGATCCTGACTGGATATAGGACAGGGTACAAACAAAAAACAAATGCCTTTTCTTAACAATATACATTTCTGTATGTATTTCATCCTAAAATATATATTTTAGCAGCTGCATAATAGAATTCAGTGAAGTTAAAAGTCTAAAGGATAACTGCATTCCAATGCACACATTGGTCTGTGCTTGGGTGGGTTTGCTGACCAGAGTTGGGATAAATCATAGCAGAATCTGTCCCTCTAGCATTCACAGACTTCCTTGTGTGCTCAGACTGGCCTTACAGAGCAAGTGGAATTCAGAAGAAGATTGCACAACTGGCAACCTTCTTCCATGTCACGTGCAGCAGCACAACTGTCAATACATGCAGCATGGAAGAGATGCTGCTTGCACAGTGTGTATGGCCTGATTCCTGGCAAACGCTCTGCAAATGCTGAGTGCTCTAGCCTGGAACTAGAAACACACAGAGAAAGATTATTTGGTTTTAAACCTACAAGAACATTTTGCATTCTCTTTTAAAAGCGATATACATTTTTAAAGAATACATTCAATTTTAACTTTATATATCATATATATTCACTCTGGAAATTCAAATCAGAGGTATGATACATATTTGGATCAATTTAACTATAACATTGAAACAAACAGTCCCAGTATGCTTTGGAGTCTGACCATGTTTTAACTGCACCTGAAAGAATTACATAAAATTTCTAGTCTGGTAAATGTTTGTTGCCAAGGAATAACAAAACACAAAGAAATGTCAACCTGAAATACATGTCCTGTAGCTTTAAGCTTTGGCTTTTCAGTCTCCTCAGTGAGTGAAGCTGCTGAAACAGTTTCTTCCACATCACATTTGGCACGTGATTTGGCAAAATCTTCATAAAGCTGAACCTATGAAAACAGAAGGAATATATGCTTATTATTATTATTATTATTATTATTATATTATTATTATTATTATTATTATTATTATTATTATAGCATTTCTTATGAAATCACTGTTAACTTAAAATTTTCTCATGAGTAGGTAGTTCAACAACACGTATCCTTTCAAAAGGAAGTCTACTCCTACATTAACCTGATCAGCCATGAGTACTACTGCACCCTTCTATATGCTGCCATTTCAGAATTAAGACACTCATTTTCTATTTTACAAGGAATATAGAGCCACCACGAGCTTCTTTCTCAGCATCAGTACAAAGCAAGGCAAATGCTACTTGAAGAAGGCATGCTGCCCAGCAACTTTTGTCCAAGGTGGGCAGACGTTTTTGACTCACAACAGAAGAACTGCCATATCATTTGGATTCTTCTAGGATATTCAAACAATTTTAAATAGCAGTCCAGCTAACAAGCACTACCTGTACATCCATGGATTGCTGCCTCCAATCAGCTTGTTTACTGCTGTCACCCTCAAGGCATTTTCCCTGAGACCCACGCTGTTCCTCCTGCTTCAAGGGGCACCATCTACTGCTGTTTTCCCCATCCCTTTCTTACAAAAAAGACAACAGCAACCTGTTTCTTCTGGTCTCCATGGTTCCTTCTGTCAGCCCCCTCTTGGTCTTATCCTCCGTACTAGCATTTTGGACATTCTGGGTGATTTGCTAGCCATCAGAGCTCAGGTACCCATACCACTCCGCTTTCTCACTTCCCCTCTCCAGGCATTGCCATGTTGAAGGCTACATATGTGTGCAAGGAAGATAAAGCAGCTGTGTGGACGGGTACAGGAGATGTCTGGCCTGCTTTTGCCAAATGAAATGAAATGTGGGAAAAGGAGAGTAAAAGGCCTGCCATTTTGGGAAAGGAAAACTTGTGTGTGGCATGTATTCTGAACTGAAAGCTTCTGAAGCAAAACTAACATTTTTGTGAAGCAAGTTAGTGAAAGTAACCTTTCAAATGTCTCATGCTGCAATGAACTAAAATTTGAGAAGGACAGGGATTTACAATTCAATGCTGAAAGCCACATCAAAGCACTGAGCCTATTGCAGGTGGAATTCCAGAACAGAGTCACTGATTGCCATGAGCATGGAAAGGAAATAGCAATGTTTCAGAATCCATTTGAAGTAGCACCAGAGGCTGCAAGTGACTTTAGTCAGATGGGACTAATTTCCAAGATGAAAATTGTGAAATCCAAGTGTAGGTCAAAACTTACAGACGAACATTTGCATGGAATTTTAAGGGTGTCTGCCACAAACCTTGACTTAGACATTAATGCCCTGGCTAACGGAAAACAGCCACATTGACTAGGTAGGCATGTGTAGCTAGATAAAAGGATTTTACAGTAAAATATTGTTCCAAAATGGATTGCATTCAAGTTAACATTTCTTCATCTACCTCTGAATGTTTACTTTTGATCTAAACTGGGAGATCAATAATTTTGTTACAACTGATTTAAGATGTGCCCCTCTTTAGGCATTGGGCACTTTAATGGCCATCACTTCCCAGATGGTTTGGGACCACTGTTTTAGATGTTGCACCAACCATCCAGTGCAGATACTTGAGGGAAATCAATGAAGACTGTGCTCCATGAAAATGTTCTTGCTGTTCAGAAGTTTGCAACAGACGGAAGGAATCCTTCCATTTGTGGGAGACAACAAGCTGGATCTAACAATGTTTTGAGTCTGAACATACTTTGTTTTCCCCATTTAGAACATTTAAAATCCCTATTTAGAACAAGTTTGGGATCTGAGAACATTCAAAATTAGCTCTATTATTGCTTACTAATGCCAGTGTAATACAAATCAGGGAACTTGCCTGTAGAGGACTGAGGATGCAGTAATAGTCTTGAATAATTTTTGGTGGAAGATCTTGTAGCACATCTTCTTTCATTCTTCTCAACAAAAATGGCAGGACTTGCCTGTGCAATGCTTCCATTGCAAGCACACCTGCAAATGCCCACAAGAGGAAAGGTATGTGGATTGGTGAAAGTATTAAAATGGATAGTAAATGTGTCATTTACTAGCACGTGAACAGCAGAATGCATGAAGCTTCCCAAGAATAACAATATTTTATCAAGCAAGGATAATTTGTTTCTTACCTGCCTCCTGTTCTCGACTGGAGCTCCTGGCATCCCTACTTGCTAATATGGGTTTGCCATATCGAGCTGCAAATTGGCGCTCAGTACCCAAAAATCCTGGCATAAGGAAGTCAAACAGTGACCACAGTTCTAAGACGTTGTTCTGAACATAGGATAAGCATTAGTTAGGAAAACAGTAATTACAACAAACTTCAATTGTTCATATAAATTCACCATGTTATAACTAAGTAGCATCATGATTATCTGCAGGTACTTCTCTCATCTCCAAACCTGACTGAGGTTCTTGCATGTATGACTTTAGACCTTCTCATGAAAAATCTAGGAAGCATAAACTCAACATGTGCAATCAATTTCCTTCACAACATTTCACTATCAAGTGGGCCCTCAGACACTGCAGTTTTGCTTCCCATACATGCCCATTCAGCAGTTCCAGAATCGGCACAGATTCTTATGGAGTGTGGCTGTGATGCTACATGCATCTGGAAAGAACTGCCAACTGTTTTTTTTTTCTCTCTCTTTTCTTTTCACGTGTTTTAAGAATTTTCCACTAGTCCCTTTCCACTTTCAAGAAAGACATGAATTACCTGAATTGGTGTCCCAGAGAGTATAATCCTATAATTGGCAGTCAATTGCTTTATTGCTTTTGACAGTTTTGTTTTTCCATTTTTTATGACATGGCCTTCATCAAGAATGCAGTAGTTAAATTTAATATTTCTAAGAGAGAAAGTACAACTAATCAACTTTAACAGGACAGATTAAGAGAAATAGAAATATTAAAAGGAAAAGAAAGCACGATTGTTCTCACCTAAAGAAATCAATGTCATTTCTCACAACATCATAGGAAGCTACAATTAAGTTGTGTCTTTTAACATGGTGTTGTAGCCTTGAGGACAAAGTATAAACAAATTAGGTCTTTAATTACAATGGTGAAACAAACACAACTTTATAGAAATATTGTTTAGATTAATGAATTATGACATTATTTTCTGAATAATCCCAGAAAAGGGAAAAATGATTTCAAGCCAGACAGTAAATAGGCTTCTACAATATATTCCTTACCTTGCCCTTTCTGTGGGAGGGCCAGTGTAATGCAAAGGATTCAAATATTCTTTGGAACAAAATTTACCCACTTCATCTACCCAATGGCCTGTAAGGGTAGGAGGGCAAACCACCAAGGATGGGAGAGGAACACAATCAGCCATTTTAGTTCTTGCATATTCTTGGGCCCTTTGGAAAATAAAACCACATTATATGAAAGGTTGTATCTCAGAGGTGGCCAAACCAAAGCTTGGAGCCACATGCAGCTCTTTGAATTTATTTTGCAGCTTGTTGCTCACCACCCAGGGCACCGGCAGGCACCTTCTTGCTGCTCGCCCATGCCCACTTACCACTCGCCAACCACAACCACTGCCTGTGGGCACCCACTTGCAGCTCTCGAACAACCGATATTTACTGTATGTGACTCTTCTGGCCACCCCTGTCATATCTTCTGTAATGTGAAAATCCCAAAATAAGATTAATCAGCAATCATTGCTTAGGTTACCTGAGACAGTGATCTCCTGCGAGAATACAGATGGATTGCAGGGTTTTTCCTAAGCCCATATCATCACAAAGGATACCATGAAGCTTGTATTTATTGAGAAAAGCCAACCAATTTACACCTTCCTGTAAACAGAAAGGAAAAAAAATATATTTAGAGGAGGGAGACAGGAATGTAGTTTAGCTTCTCCATATACCAGTCTTGGTCCATTGAAGGACTCTAATGAGTCACATACAACCATTTAAATATCTTTAAAATTTAAAGGAAGTATTAAAAGCATAAAGGGATGCCGGGGGGGGGGGGTGAATTCAACAATAGAAGCCCAGTAGAAAGGCAGGTTGCTTATTTGTAACTATTGCTTTTCAAGTGGTCATTTGTGCATTCAGACATATGGGCTTCACACTTGTGCAGAGCTTAGAACTAGGAAAAAGCTAAGAGTTCAGAGTTGTGAGCGGGAGGCTGTGGGAAAGTTTCCTGCCCATTCCTCAGTTCCTTTGAAGATGGCAAAGGGTCTCTGGACCAAGGGGTGGGAGAGGGGTGACCACCAACCCTTTTGGGCCCCAAGCATCTACAGAAAAGGAAACAATTGTTGTTTAAGGAGGACAACAGCAAGTGGGGCCACAGAATGGGTTGAGTGAAGGCACAGATGACCACTTGAAGAACGACATTTACATGTAAGCAACCTGCCTTTCTTCTTTGCTGTCTCTCTGTGCATCACACATATGGGCGACCAGCTAGCTTACTACATCAAGAATCATGGGTGGTTAGAAGAGAGGACAACCCTGCTGAAGGCATAGTCTGCTCTCGCTAGGATGTCGAGTCTGCAGTGCTTGACAAAGATTGAGTGGGTCAACCACATGGCAGCTCTGTAGATGTCCTGGAGTGGGACTCTGACAAGGAGGGCCATCTTGGTGGCTAAGGCTCAAGCAAAGTGGGCCCTGGGTCTTAAGGTGAGCTGGAGGTCAGAACTCTTGTAAGTCAGGGTGATGGTGCTGGGTGCGAGGGCTGGGCTGTGGATGGCAGCAGGAATGGGCAGAAAGATGGGTCCAGAGCATAAGCTCAAGCAAGAATCTGACCTTCAGCTCAAGCAAGCGTGCTGGCTGAAACATCTCTGGGCCTAAAGGGTTCTGTAGTCCCCTGCCATCCAAAAATACTGCTGAGGCCCAAAACCACACTCCCTTGCAATGTGGGGAGTCAAAGGGTCTGTTGCCTCCATGTACTGGTGGGGTCGTATTTCATGAGTCAGAAAATGCCCAGGATCATGAGGTAGTGCGGGGTTGCAATCAGGTCATAAGTCATCACCTCCTGATGCCCTGGGGCAGCCAGCACAACCAGAGGGCAGGTTTGATGGGTGACAGGGCCAGATACCAACTGGGTATCGAGGCCCTCCACAATGACTGGGATGGTCTTTGCTTGAAAGGGGATGCAATGTTCCCTGGTGAAGTCCCAGTTAATAAACTTGGAAGCGGTCCCAGAGTCTATCATGGCCATCACCTGAAGGAGTTTCCCATGGGGCAGCAGGAACCAGACTGGGATGAGGAAGTGGGGGTTAGATGTTGCAGTCCCCAGATAGTTTCCCCCTAATGTGCCTGGGAATGTCCATTTCCTTGGAGAATTTTCTTAGATGGGCAGGTGGCAGCAAAATGGCCCTCCCAGCCACAATAGAGGCAGAGACCCTGAGTCTGCCACTGCTGCCTCTCAACCTCTGTCAGGCAACGCCAGGAACCATCTGCCTTTATGTGCTCAAGCCCGGGGTCAGAAATCACATGTTCCAGTGGCTTTACTGGGAAAAGCTCAAATCGGTCAAGTTCCTGTCACTGTTCTGCACTTCTGTCTGTAAGGTGAGTGTCAATAGCTATGCTCCTAGTTGATGGTGGCTGAAAAGATACTAAGGGAATGGGTGGGAACTCCTCCCACAGTCTCTTGGGAACACTTAGCTTTAGCAGCTTTCTCCAGTTTTAGGCCATGCACAGGAGCGAAGCCCATATGTGTCATGCAGAGATCAGAAACAGGAATAAAAATGTGTTAGCAGCCTGTCTAAAACAAATGGTAACAGAAGAAGCCACTCATACCAACCTTTGGAGAGAATCTGATCTCTGGGGCACTGCCATTAAGTTTTCCCTACCAACTACACCTGTCTTGCCAGTGGAACACCTCTCAGGAGAGAGAGATTCCACTAGAAGAAAAATCTTAGTCATCTTCTGCCAATCAAAACTTTAATGTTTGTAGTAAACCACCACACAAATATGCCAACTATCAAACCAGAAATTTGAAGAGTATTTCAAAGGTCATGCTATCATGTATTTTTCCTTAAAATGCTTTCAGTGCTAGAAACAAGTATTGGGGCTAGAACACAGAAATTTATTTTCAACCCTGCTTGTTCATTTTTAATTAACCTTGGCAATTTGGTAATTAGTAGAAGTAATATAATTTTAGCAACTTTATTTCAGATCAGTATTTAATCAGAAAATAGATTCTCATATCAGGGCTGGAAATAGCACACAGAAGTCTACAAACTGGATACTTTTTGATCCTATGATTATCAGGTCACATACAGCTTTTTAAAATAATGACCAGATAAACTATCCAAATCAATCTAGAGAAAAAAGTCTCACATTTGAAGAGAAAGATGGGTGTACCTGTGCATGCATGTGAGTGCACGGGAAACTGAAAGTTTCTTGTAATAACTTACCTGCTGATATTTTCTGAGTTCTGCTTTAATTGGTACTGGAATTTTATAGTTTTCTAGTTTTTTCCCATCTAATAATTGCTCCAGAAAATGACGCTCCTTGGCTTTAATTTTGATTAAATCTTCAGACATATCTGGTGGGTCTGGAATGCCAGCCTGAAGCAAAAAATGGTAAAAGAGAAGAAAAAGATCAGTTACAGGTACAGAATAACAGTTACAGGCAGGCAACCTGCCTTTCTTCAGCATGGTCTCTGTGCATAACACATGAGCAACTGGTGAGCTTACCTCTTGGAGGAGGGTGTTGTTGCTCAGCATAGAAGAGACACACCAGCATACATGGCTATGGAGGTTGCTGTTGCTCTAGTGGAATGTGCACAGATCAGGCCAGTGAGTGGGAGGTCAGTGAGATCATACTCTAGGTGGATTGTATGAGATATCCACTTAGCAAGTCTCTGAGAGAAGATAGGTGAGCCTGGAGAAGTGCCCCTACAGGCAATGAAAAGTCTTTGTGACTTAGGAATAGACTGTGTTATGGATTTATAAAAGGCTAGAGTCCTGTTAATGTCTAAGGAGTGGAAGGCTAGCTCAACCAGATTGGAAGGCAACTGGAGGAAGGTCACAAGTATAATAGGTTTGTTAATGTAGAGATGACTTTCAGTAGGAAAGTTGGATGAGGGTGGAATACCACTTTATATTTGTGGAAGGTGAGATAAGGTGGATCGATCCTGAGGACAGCTAAGTCTCTGGCTCAATGAGCTGAACTGACAGTCACCAAAAATGTTGTCTCAAAAGAAATGAGACAGAGGTCCGCAGAAGCCATGGGTTAAACGGGTTTTTGTGTAAGTGCATGAAGGACCACTGAAAGGCTCCATGTTGGCATGGGTTGTCAGAGAGGAGGTACAAGATTAACAAGGTCTATAAGGAACCCCTGAATGGGGGCATGAGAAAATACAGAGTAGCCTTGGAGCAGAGTATGGAAAGCAGAAATGGCAGCTGCATAGACCCTGACAGAAAAGGGTTTGAGGCCCTGCTTGTATAAGGAGTTGAGAAATAAGAGTATCTGGCTGGTGGAGGTTTCGTCTGATGGAAAACTGTGTTGTGCTTGCAAATTCAGAGAATGCAGTCCACTCTGAGTTGTTTGATTTGTGCGTAGCAGGCTTCAAATGAAGAGCTGAGGACCAGTTGAATGTCCAGAGAAAGATCAATAATTGTATTGGACATGGCATAATCCTCCATGCTATGAGGAAGAATGTGTGTATAATCAGATGGAGAACTTGATCCTGGAAGATGAGGCCGGGCAGGAGGGGGAGCCAGTAGTAGGTTAGACTGGAGAAGTTGAAAAGATGGGGAAACCAATGCTGCCTGCGTCACCAGGGAGTAATGAGGATTGAATCTGTTTGATCTTGACAGATCTTTGCTAAAACTATTAGAATGAGAGGGAAAGGTGGGCACAGGTCGAATAAATCTTTGCTCCATTGTAAGAAGAAGACATCTCCCCCCATCAATCCTCTGCCCACGCTGGCTCTGGAGCAAAAAAGTTAGCAAATGGAATTATCCTTTGTTGCAAATAGGTCTATGTGAGGGTGACCCCATTGGTTCCACAGGGAGTGCAGTATTGTGGGGTGGAGTTCTCATTCATGGCACTGTGTCAAAGTGCAACTCAGAGCATCTGCAAGGATGTTGTTGGTTCTTGCAGAATGGATTGCTAGCAGGGTGGTACACTGGACAACACACCATCTTCCTATCTTGGTGGCAAGAATAGCAAAAGGCAGAGATCTTGTTCTCCCTTGTCGGCTGATGCATGTGAGAACAGTGATATTGTCCATAATAACTGGGAGATGTCTATCTTGGAGTCTGAAAAGCTCAGAACAATTTCTGTACTGTGAGGAGCTCTTGAAAGTTTATATGGCGTAAGTGTTTGTGCGGGCCCCACTTTCCCTGAATCTTGGAAGGGACACAGTAAGGTCCCCATTCTGAAAGGCAGGTTGCTTACCTGTAACTGTCGTTCTTCGAGTGGCCACCTGTGCATTCACACATATGGGTGCTGCGTCTGCACAGTGCCTAAGGCCGGAAAGATTAGAAAGCTAACGGTTTTTGGCGGGACACTCCGCTCCCCTCCCCCTCAATGCTATATATAGAGCGGAGTTGCCACCATTTTCTCAGTCTTTACAAGACCGAATGTTCGCCCCCTCTCGGAAGAGATACATATTACAATGGCTTTGTTAGGGACCATGACAATCAAAATGAGACATGGTACCGAAAGAAGATCCACTCACTGACACCGAGCGGGGCCGACGGGTGGGTTGTGTGAATGCACAGATGGCCACTCGAAGAACGACAGTTACAGGTAAGCAACCTGCCTTTCTTCGTCATGGCCTCTGTGCATCACACATATGGGTGATTAACAAGCTTACCAGACTCAGAGGAGGGCAGTTTTGTCATCGAAGGATGGCGGAGAGGACTGCCCTACTGAAGGAGCAATCCAGTCTGGCACGCACATCAAGGCGATAATGCTTGGCAAAAGTGCACGGAGCAGCCCAAGTTGCAGCTTTACGGATATCCTGGATTGGGATTCCCACGGCAAAGGCAGAGGAAGTTGCTACTGCTCTCGTGGAGTGACCCCTCAGAACAACGGGTAAGTCCATTTTGGCAAATTGATATGCCAGCACAATAGTTTGCACAATCAATTTTGAAAGTCTCTGCGATGTTACAGGAGAGCCCTTGTCCTGCTCAGAATATTTCACGAAGAGTCGGTTAGACCATCGAAAAGTCTCTGTACACGATCTGTAGAATGCTAAGCAACATCTCACATCGAGGGTATGCAGGGATCTTTCAATCGGGTTCGATGGTGATGAAAAGAAGGCAGGTAAAACAATGTCCTGATTAACATGGAACGGAGTGGCTACTTTAGGCAAAATGTCGGATCTGTTCGAAGAACCACCTTCTCTTTGTGGAAGTTCAAGTATGGAGGATCTACTCGAAGAGCACAAAGTTCACTAGCTCTCTGAGCCGAAGTGACAGCTACAAGAAAGGCTGTTTTCCAGGACACGAGACGTAAGTCAATAGTCGCCAGAGATTTAAACGGAGCTCTGGTAAGTGCTTGAAGTACAACTGAGAGACTCCAAGTAGGCATAACAGGACGAATTGTTGGATGAAGATTCTGCAGTCCTTTGATGAACCTTCTAATAATTGGTCATGAAAAAACTGATGAGCCTTGCACCGCACCGTGGTAATGGGAGATCGCAGCTGTGTAAACCTTTATGGATGAAGGTTTAAGTCCCGAATGATGTAGCTCTAAAAGAAACTGTAGTATATTCTTGATAGAAGTCAATGCAGGGGCAAATGAATGGGATTTTACAAAAGACGAGAATCGACGCCACTTTGCCACATAGGATCTTAGAGCAGATTCGAGAATTCGCTGAATATCTGGATTGAGAGTGCTCAATCCCAAGGCAAATTCTATCGGATCTGAGTAAGTGAATGATGTCTCGGTTCCGTAAGTGGAAGTTCCAAGTGCAGGAGTAATCATCGGTATCAAATCGGTAGCGTGGGTCATCGGATTCGCCAAGCTGTGAGGCTCAAAGAAGTCAAGTCCGAGTGACGAACAGCTCTGTCTTTCTGTGTTATCAAATGAGGTATCGATGGTAGACGGAGAAAAGTGTCAGACAGTCGGAGGAGGATGGAGAACCATGCTTGATGGGGCCACCAGGGTGTTATTAAGATTCCCGTGGCATTGTCGTGGATAATCTTCGATATGACTTTTGTTAAAAGTGGAATCGGAGGAAAGGTGTAAAAGTTGATGTTGGACCACGGGACCATAAGGGTGTCCCCTGCTGACCCTGGTCCGCTGCCCGCTCTGGAGCAGAACGTTTCGCATACCCTGTTCTCGTGGGTAGCGAACAAGTCCATGTCTGGATGTCCCCAATTCTGGAAAAGCTGATTGCAAATCTGTCGATCTAACTCCCACTCGTGAGTCGTTGACATTTGCCTGCTCAACACGTCAGCTTCCTTGTTGTCGGTACCGGCTAGATGAACCACCAGAAGAGTTATATCCCTAGGGATGCACCAGTCCCAAATCTTCATCGACAGCTGAGCTAGGGCGGTGGACTTTGTCCCGCCCTGTTTGTTCACATAGAACACAGCAACCACATTGTCTGATGCAGTCTGAACCACGTGTCATTGGACAGTATCCTTGAAGGATCAATGAGTTTGAAGATCGCCAGTAGCTCAAGATAGTTGATGTGCCTAGCTGATTACTGTTGATCCCAAGTGCCCTGTGTTCGAAGTCCTGCACATACCGTACCTCAACCGATCAGGGATGCATCAGTATAAAGAGTCAGGGTTGGATGAGGCAGTCGGAATGGAACACCTACATTCAGATTGCCTGGTATTGTCCACCATGCTAATGTGTATAGAACGGTTTGTTGGGCGAGTCCTGTTGTGGACGAAACATCCTTTTGAACCATAGCTGAAGAGGTCGTAGTCGAAGTCTGGCATAAGGAACAATGGCCACCAAAGCAGCCATATGACCCAAGAGCTTTTGAATTGAAAGAGCCGGGACAGTCCTGTCTTGTCGAATTCGGTGGATCAATGAGTAAAGATTGTCTTGACAAGCTAGAGGAAGAAATGCCCTCACTAGGGTGGAGTTGAGACGAGCTCCAATGAAGTCAATCACCTGCGAGGGGACAAGGGACGATTTTTGACGATTAATACACAGTCCTAAATCGTCCAGCAAAGTACAAGTTGTGTCCATGGCCGAGAGCAGACCTTTCCAGATCTGGGAAACTATTAACCAGTCGTCCACGTAAGGGTATACTTGAATACCCTGAAGCTGGAGGTGCGCACACACTGGGGCCATGCATTTAGTGAAGACCTGTGGAGTGGTGTCTAATCCAAATGGAAGGACATTAAATTCAAATATGTCGGAACCGACAGTGAAGCATAGGAGATGCCTATGACAGGGATGGATAGAAATATGAAAGTAGGCATCTCTTAAGTCCAGGGAGGCGAACCAATCCTCTCTCCTCAGCAACGGAAGGATATTTTGAAGAGTAGTCATTCGAAACTTCCTAGGTTTAATAAACCTATTAATGTCCCGTAAGTCCAGGATTGGACAGAGACCACCATCCCATTTAGGGACAGTAAAATATCTTGAA